GTTTTATGGTCTGTCAGGTAAGATTGGAACCAGGATAAAGCCTTTCCTTTGATACCAACCAGATTTTCCAGCCTATCAAGAAGGATCTTGTGGTCAATAGTATCGAATGCTGCACTGATGCAAATATGGCCACTATCGAGAGACACAGAGAGATCATTTACTACTCTAGTTAATGCTGTTTCAGTGCTGTGAAAGGGTCTAAAGCCAGACTGAAACATCTCATGCTGAGAGTTTTCTTGTAGATAGGAGCTCAGTTGATGTGTGACCACTTTTTCTAAGATCTTAGCAATGAAAGGGAGATTGGAAATTGGTCCATAGTCGGCAAGTTCATTGGGATCAAGATCTTGCTTTTTAAGTAGGGGTTTAACGACTGCAAGTTTTGATGATTTTAGTACATATCCCAGAATGTGGGACAAATTTATTATAGACCGCAGAGGTTTAACAACATAGGGGACACTCTGTTTGAGCAGTTTTGTGGGTACTGGGTCAAGAATGCATGTTGATGATTTGATGAGCTAATCAGGGTAACTAATTCATTTGTTTGTAAAGGACTAAAAGATAGCAACTGGACTTTTGAGCTGGCAGGGCACCCATCATGTTGTGATAATAGATCTACAGTCAGATTTTGGATTTGTAGTCTAATATTTTCTATTTTATCATTGAAGAATCTGCTAAAACCATTGATGCTATATGTTGTTTGAATATCGTTTTCAAACTGTAATGTTACCAGTTAGTTTGGATATAGTCACAAACAGGATCTTAGGATTATTTTTGTTATTCTCAATTAGTGATGAAAACACAATGCTTTGGCTGCGTTTAGGATACGCTTATATTCTATGATGCTGTTTTTCCATTCAATTCGGAAACAGTCTAGTTTTGATATACACCATTTACATTCCAGACTACAAGCCATTTGTTTTAGCATATGTGTATGTTTGTTATACCATGGTGCGAGCTTTTTTCATCTGACTTTTTTCATCTTAATCTGTGCCACATTATAAAGAGATGACTGAAGTGTGGATTGTAGAATTTCACTATTGTTTTCAAGATCATCGAAGCCCAATGGGGCAGGGATGATTGATAAATCTGGTAAACTGTTTATAAGAGCATCTATAGTGGAGGCAGTGATAGTTCGCTTGTGGCGATAGTAGGATGGTACGCAAACATTATAGTCCAGAACGACTTCATGCATAACTAAGTAATCAGAGATGCATTCATTCTGAGAGACAGCTACTGAGTTTTAGTTCTAAGGTGTTGTTGCAGTGGTGTGTAGGCCCTATCACATTTTGAATATAGCATCAAGAACTGCTTCAAAAGCCATTTTTAAAGGGTCTTGAGTATTCTCAAAATGAGCGTTAAAATCTCCTACTATCAGAATTTTATCTGCAGAGAGAGCGATACTCGTAAGAAACTCAGAGTAAGGGCATGGGGAACAATAGATTGTAGATAATAGGGGTGCGGGAAAAAATCGATTCTTAGATGCATCGCGATGCAGACGTGAACAATTCTGAATCAATTCACAAATGTCAAAAATCGATTTTCTAAATATTTAATTTATAATGTAATGTTGACGGAACGCAAAGGGCGGAACTTGGAAGTGCGGAAGAGCAGCGCCCGGACAGTCTGTGGCAGCACATAACAAAAACACTGCTGGATGAGTGAGAAATCCGACTGGCACCCTCTGCATTAAAAGCCAGGTTAGGTCAGGAGTCGCAAGCCAAATGTTAAGAAGAGCTATTTTGTCCTTTCAACAAAAATCAAACCACCTTGGGAGCCACATCATTTAATGTCCAGTATATGATAATATCCTAGTATAGGCTAAACAATATAAACGAGAGCGAAGATTTACTTTGCTCTGCTTTAAGCTTTAGCTCAGCTATGGCAACTTTCCTCCCCTTTCCGTCAGGAAACTTTTCCTCAAAAGTAGATCAGTTTCTTGTAAAATGCTTCTCAGCGTTCGGCTGTTTTATGAGGCTGAAGTCGCTTCTTATTCTCCAGTTTGTTGTTTGAATTTTCCCATTCCACCTTAAATTCTAACTGAGGCGCCGAATGTAAATACGGCACCATTTAAGGTGAAACGGGAAAATTAGAAAGAGAAGCGACTGTTTATTGTTTGACAGTCTCTCGTTGCAGATTTAACTTGCCAGGAAACCAACTGCGCTGCTTATAAATAATATTGCTATGTGACCTGCAATCTGCACGGCAATTCTCAGTCGTTGCGAAACGGCTTTCGCGCTATGTTGCACACGCCCCATTTCAAAGATATTCTACCCCCCCCACTCTCTACAACGAGACCAAAACCAAAGTTATAAAATCATTAAAGAAAACGGTTTGAACGACTTTAACGTATCTTATTTCTTTAACCAGATCTTATTTCACCGTGACTGCCCATTTTATTGCAGATGAGTGGCAGCAGTGTCTCCTGTGCTCCAAACAAAAGGAGTGAATAATGAGAGCCTTCTAGTTCACTTGCCACATCACTTTCATTTGACTTATTAATAAAAAATATTGGAAGTAAATTCATAATGGATCATTACAAATACCTTGCTTTAACATTACCAAGTCCTTACACAGCGAGAAAATATAAATGCTGTTTAGAAAAAAAAAGATGCATCGATAATCGTTTTATAATCGCATCGCTCTTTATAATGTGGCATTTCTCCATGTTGGAAAGAGATATTGTTGTTAGCATGGCTGTTAGACATCCACTGATGCCTTGGGTTGAGTCTGTCGACCAGTCAGAGGCTGTGTATCTGACTTATCGCTGGAACAACACTACTCTTCCAGGCAAAATGAAGGTATGTCTGTAGCATGCAGTGTTCACAAAATATTTATTCTTTTATCTACAATGTCCTTAGTTGTTGTATATCAGATTGTCAACCTGAGAGGGTTAAGCACTGCCTTCAGTTAAACTGCCTTCAGTATCTACAGCTCAATGCACATGCTTTCACTCATGGTACTCTATTCTCACTTTTAGGAAAAGTATTTCTTCACACACACACACACACACACACAAACTTTCTAAGCTACTTTCCTTCTGGGTCAAAAATATAAGCTTGTTTACTTTTTTAAACAAAAATCACATTACTCCCATTTTGAGTAACAGTGGATGAGAGGATGGCTGGCACAAGCTTTACGGCAGGGATATACAACTCCAGCACAGTGTGGTAGTACCCCTACTGAAATACACCCTCTAAACCCACTAAACAGAGGAATTGAATCAGGTGTGTTTGAGCAGGTAAATCACCAAAGTCTACTGGACACTGGGCCTCCAGAACTACAGTTATGCACCCCTGGGCTACAGTTTGTAACAGTACACCAACAAGGCGGAGCTGCAAAAGAGGGTTTCAGGTAAAGTGGACAGTGAGTGCATTTGCTCAAAGACAACAAAATCTTTAAAAATAACTTTTAGATAACTTAAAATATATTTTTTTCATAGTGCCTTGAAAAAGTATTCATACCCCAAGTAATTGTGAAGTGAAAAGAAAATTATGCATCGTTTTCAAATTTTTTTACAAAAAAAAAATCTGGAAAGTGTGGTGTGCATTTGCCCCCCTGAGTCAATAATATGTAGGACCACCTTTCACTGCAATTACAGCTGCAACTCTTTTGAGGTATGTCTCAACCAGCTTTGCACATCTAGAGGATTAATTTTTTCCCCATTCTATGCAAAATAGCTCAAGCTCGGTTAGATTGGATGGAGAGCATCTGTGAACAGCAATTTTCAAGTCTTGCCACAGATTCTCAATGGGATTTAGGTCTGAACTTTGACTGGGCCATTCTAACACATGAATATGCTTTGATCTAAACCATTCCATTGTAGCTCTGGCTGTATGTTTAGGGTTGTTGTCCTGCTGGAAGGTGAACCTCCATCTCAGTCACAAGTCTTTTGCAGCCTCTAACAGTTTTTCCTACAGGATTGCCCTGTATTTAGCTCCATCCATCATCCCATCAACTCTGACCAGCTTCCCTGTCCCTGCTGAAGAGAAGCATCCCCACAGCATGATGCTGCCACCGCCATGTTTCACGGTGGGCATGGTGTGTTCAGGGTGATGTGCGGTGTTAGTTTTCTGCCACACATAGCGTTCTGCATTTAGGCCAAAAAGTTCAACTTTGGTCTCATCTGACCAGAGCACCTTCTTCCACATGTTGTGTCTCCTACATGGCTTGTGGCAAACTGCAAATGGGACTTCTTATGGCTTGCTTTCAAAAATGGCTTTCTTCTTGCTACTCTTCCATAAAGGCCAGAACAGTTGTCCTGTGGACAGATTCTCCCACCTGAGCTGTGGATCTCTGCAGCTCCTCCAGAGTGACCATGGGCCTCTTGGCTGCTTCTCTAATTAGTGCTCTCCTTGTCTGGCCTGTCAGTTTAGGTGGACGGCCATGTCTTGGTAGGTTTGCAGTTGTGCCATACTCCTTCCATTTTCAGATGATGGATTGAACAGTGCTCCGTGAGAAGTTCATAGCTTGGGATATTTTTTATAACCTAACCCTGCTTTACACTTCTCCACAACTTTATCTCTGTCCTGTCTGGTGTGTTCCTTGATTTTCATGATGCTGTTTGATCACTAATGTTCTCTAACAAACCTTTGAGGTCTGCACAGAACAGCTCTAGTTATACCGAGAATACATTACACACAGGTGGACTCTATTTACTAATTAGGTGACTTCTGAAGACAATTGGTCACGCTGGATTTTATTTAGGGGTATCAGAGTACAGGGGGCTGAATACAAATGTACGCCACACTTTTCAGATTTTTATTTATAAAACATTTTGAAAAGCATGTATAATGTTCTTTTCACTTCACAATTACTTACTATTTTGTGTTGGTCTATCACATAAAATCCCAAAAAAAAACATTTAAGTTTGTGGGTGTAACGTGAAAAAATATGGAAAAGTTCAAGGCACTGTATGTGGGCAAGAGTTAAACTATCACTATTTAAAGATTATAATAATCTTAATATAATGAATTAAATACTTGTGTAGACAGAACACTCACATAGCCTTCCTGCTCACAGTCACTGCTGGAATCAATCTCTTATAACCCTCCTCTGATGTCCTGTATTTCTTCAGGTCCAGCTCATCCAGAACCTCCTCTGAGTTCAGAATCATATAGGCTAGTGCTGAACACTGTGCAGGAGAAAGAGCCTCTTCTGAACATTTCTCTGATTTTAGATACTCCTGAAGCTCTCTGGAGAGAGACTGATCATTCATTTCAGACAGACAGAGGAACAGATTGATTGATCTGTCAGCTGTGATGTAACATTGTCCATGTGTATTTGATTTTATTATTCTCTTGATGTTCTCTTTAATTTTCTCTGGATGTTTCTGTGTGGGTGTCAGTAGACCCTGTAGGAGTCTCTGATTGGACTCCAGCAAAATTCCCAGCAGAAAACGGAGGAAAAGATCCAGGTGTCCATTTGGACTCTTCAATACTTTATGCAGTAATCGATCAAGCACCTCATCCAGTGCAACATTTTTAGACCATCGTTTTTTCTTTGGTGTTAAACACTGCAGTGGCTTCATGTTCTTGCTCTCATAGCAGTGAAACACAAAGACAGCTGCCAGGAACTCCTGAAAGCTCAGATGAACAAAGCAGTAGACCTTCCTCTGGTAAAGCACACATTCCTCCCTAAAGATCTCAGTGAAAATCCCAGAATACACTGAGGCCTCAGTGACATCAATGCTGCTCTCTCTCAGGTCCTCTTCATAGAACATCACATGGCCCTTCATCAACTGTTTGAAAGCCAGTTCAGCCAGTTTCAGAAGAATTGCTCTGTTGGACTCCAGCAGGTTCTTTGGGTCTCTCTTATCTTTCTCTTCATACTTCTCGTTTTTCATGTTTGTCTGAGTGATCAGGAAGTGTGAGTACATTTCAGTCAGAGTTTTAGGGATTTCTGTATGATGCTGTTTCATGATTTGCTGAAGAACAGTGGCTGAGATCCAACAGAAGACTGGAATGTGGCACATGATGTGGAGGCTCCTCACTGTCTTAATGTGGGAGATGATTCTCTGGGCTTGGTCTTCATCACTGATCCTCTTCCTGAAGTACTCCTCCTTCTGTGCGTCACTGAATCCCTGAATTTCTGTCACACGGTTGATGTATTTAAGAGGGATCTGATTGGCTGCTGCTGGTCGGGAGGTTATCCAGATCAGAGCAGAGGGAAGCAGCTCTCCTTTGATGAGGTTTGTCATCAACACACTCACTGATGATGTCATAGTGATGTCAGATACTTTCCCACACTGTTTAAAGTTCAGTGGAATTCTGCTTTCATCCAGACCATCAAATATAAACACAGCTTTGATCTGATCATAAATCTCTGGGTCCAGATCTTTGAGTTCAGGATGGAAGTCACACAGAAGTCCATGAAGACTGTATTGATCATCTTTAATCAAGTTCAGCTCCCGGAACGGAAGCACAAACATGAAATCTACATCCTGATTGGCTTTTCCTTCAGCCCAGTCCAGAATGAACTTCTGCACAGAGACAGTTTTTCCAATTCCAGCAATTCCTTTAGTCAGCACAGTTCTGAGATTTTGTATTTTTTGTCCTCCATCATCATTTCTGTCTTTCTGTCCAACATCTTTAATCTTGACAGCCCCAGTGTTCTCTTTATCCAGTTCTTCTTTTGGACCTTGTACATGTTTAAAGATGTCTAAGCAGTTAATTGGAGTGTCTTGTAGGTGTTTCCTAGATGTTTTCTCCATCTGTAGAACCTCATGTTCTTCATTCACTCCTTCACTCTCTCCCTCTATGATGTATAGCTGTGTGTAAATCCTGTTCAGGAGAGTTTTATTCTCTTCTGTTCTGATTCCCTCAAATAAGCTCTCGTACTTGTTCTTCATGCTGGTTTTGTATGCCTCTGAGACTTTTTCCAGGACATCATCCACTGGTTTATAAGAATCCTGCTGGTCTTGAGTTTCATCCACCATAGTGTGTTTGTTGAGTTCTGTTCTGTGCTGCCTGTTGGGGATTAAATACAGAAGCACCAAAATCATCAACAAAAATACTTAACTTAGGATTTTTTGCTTTTGCTTTTTCTATGCAGTTGCCTTAGTCATTTCAGTAAGAACGTATTTTACATCTTGAAACCATAAGCCAGATTTAATGTCCCTTTTGGAGCAAGACAGTGACATATTTTCTTATTCATAAATGAGGAATACTGGCATGTTTACTGAATATTTCTGCTATATATACTGTTATACTGTCTCATATATATATATATATATATATATATATATACAGTATCTCACAAAATATATATGTATATATATATACACACAGTATCTCACAATATATATATATACAGTATCTCACAAAAGTGAGTACACCCCTCACATTTCTGCAAATACTTACAACACTATAGAAATGAAACTTGGATATAACAAAGTAGTCAGTGTACAGCTTGTATAGCAGTATAGATTTACTGTCCTCTGAATATAACTCAACACACAGCCATTAATGTCTAAATAGCTGGTAACACAAGTGAGTACACCTCACGGTGAAAGTGTCACAGTCCAAATTGTGCTCAAAGTGTCAATATTTTGTGTGACCACCATTATTATCTAGCACTGTGTAGCACGGTATGTGCTACCCCGGGCTCAAGGAGGACGCTGGAGGCAGGGTTCAGTGTCGCAGCAGCAATATCTTTATTACCCAAATAAACAAACTCCAAACAACCCAAACTATGCTGGCCACTTTTCAGTGGCTTCAGTCAGCTAGCCTTTTCAGTCTCTCACACTCAAGCTTTTCAGCTCTTCAGTCTCTTGCTGCTGCCTGTCCCTCTCCCTCTCTGTTCCCTCTCAGCTCTTTTAAAAGGCGCTCGCGCTGCCAGCCAGATCAGCATCAGCTGGCTCTCATTAAGGGCAGCGTGAGCACCCCAGCTGAGAGGGAACGAAAGCTCGCTGCTCCGCCTCCACGTCACCGCCCCCAGCTTGCAGCTCGGCTGCCCGGGTCGAACGTGAGGTATCGTGAAGCGGCCTCGCTGCGGAACAAGGGGCGGGGCCCAGGTGGCGGAGCTCGGGACGTTAGACACCTTGCGCTCCTCCTTCCACTTCAGGATGCCCCCCAAGTGCTCAAATGGTTTTAGATCTGGAGACATACTTCGCCAGTCCATCACCTTTACCTTCAGCAAGGCAGTTTTAATCTTGGAGGTGTGTTTGGGGTTATTATCAAGTTGGAAAACTGACATGCGGCGCAGTTTCCGAAGGAAGGGGATCATGCTCTGCTTGAGTGTCACAGTACATGTTGGAATCCACTGTTCAGCTCCCCAGTGCCGGCAGCACTCATGCAGCTCCAGACCATGATGCTACCACCACCATGCTTGACTGTAGGCAAGAGACAGTTGTCTTGGTACCCCTCACCAGGGCGCCGCCACACATGACACCATCTGAGCCAAAAAAGTTTATCTTGGTCTTGTCAGACCACAGGACATGGTTCCAGTAATCCATGTTCCGGGCTTTCTTGTGCGTCAGCTTCAGAAGAGGCTTCCTTCTGGGACAACGGCCATGCAGACTGAGTTGATGCATTGTGCTGCGTATGGTCTGAGCACTGACAGGCTGACCTCCATCTTCTTCAACCTCTGCAGCAATGCTGGCAGCACTCATGCGTCTATTTTTTGAAGCCAACCTCTGGTTATGACGCTGAACACATGGACTCAACTTCTTTGGTCAACCCTGGCGAGGCCTGTTCGGAGTGGAACCTGTCCTGGAAAACCACTGTATGACCTTGGCCACCATGCTATAGCTCAGTTTCAGGCTGTTAGCAGTCTTCTTATAGCCTAGGCCATCTTTGTGGAGAGCCACAATTCTATTTCTCACATCCTCAGAGAGTTCTTTGCCATGAGGTGCCATGTTGAATATCCAGTGGCCAGTATGAGCGAATTGTACCCAAAACACCAAATTTAAAAGCCCTGCTCCCTTGGAACCTTGTAACTCTAATGAGTCACATGACACCAGGGAGGGACAACAATACAATTGGGCACAATTTGGACATGTTTACTGTGTGGTGAACTCACTTGTGTTGCCAGCTATTTAGACATTAATGGCTGTGTGTTGAGTTCTTTTCAGAGGACAGTAAATCTACCCTGCTATACAAGCTGTACACTGACTACTTTAAGTTATATTCAAGTTTCATTTGTATAGTGTTGTCCCATGAAAAGATAAATAAAATAAAAAATAAAATATTTGCAGAAATGTGAGGGGTGTACTCACTTTTGTGAAATACTGTATATATACATGAAAGTCACTGTTGAAGGGTTGAGGATGGCCAACAAAAATTGTGCATCAATAAATGGGCAGTAACAAACTCCAGATGGAGCTTAAAGGTAGGGAATTCTGATAAAATGACCAGTATGTATACACAGTGATCCATTGGACAAAGTGATCTGAGAGTGGCTGATATATCATGTGAAGCTACAAATGGGTGGATCTTAAATATATACATAATTTGACATGGTGCAGAAGAAGTATCAGATGAGGCCGCAATTTCTATTTGAAAAATGCTCTTTTATTGAGAGCAAGGGAAAACAATGCCACTTGAAATGCAAATGAAAATTTAGATAGGTCACTCATAGGCCCACTCTTTCTTCTGATGGTCACCAAACACAAATACACTCTAACTAACCCTGAGCTGGAACATTGATATATATGGAATGAATTTTGATTATATATATATATATATATATATATATATATATATATATATATATATATATATATATACACATATTACTCATAGGGCATACTTTGTGTATTCACAATGTGTGCCCACGAGATTAACATAATTGCTCACTGGGGCTTTAGAAAGAACAGCAGCTGTTAGACCTCCATGGAGATTACTTATAATTTTTTTGGTACTGAAGAGAAATGTATTTGTTTAAAAAATAAATTCAATTTGACAGAAAAGCCAAATATCTCTCTGGAAATTAAAAAGCAGAGTACTATCACTGACTTTGATATTGAAATCACCAGTGCAAGTTATTCAGACAATTCAGACAAGTAATTTTTAAACCTGATGATCAAAGATGATGAAGAACCAGTAATTAGTAATTAGTAATCAGTAATTAGTAATAGCAAATTAACTTAGACTCTTAAATCTTTATTTATACGACAATCACTGACAAACTAACAACCTAAGCAACAGTTTAATATTATTGATTAGAGATTTGCAGTGGGAATATGTATGAAATTTAATTAAATATCTGGGGTTTGTGGGAGGGTGTCTCACTCGTTGCAATAATTACTAAACAAATGGCCGTGAATATATGTTGTATATGTTGTATATTCACTTCAACCTCAACAAACACTGAACTGAGGAAAGATCTTTCTAAAAATATATTACATAATAATACATGGATTAAAATTAGCTGTCACAAACATTTTCAGTACAAATGAAGTAAAGTTGTTATGATATCACACATAAGGAAGAATTAACTTTAGTCTGGCTATTTATATCTTCTTTTATGGTAGAATCTTAAATTTGTATTTATTGTTTCCACTTTGTAGTCTGTTTGTCAGACTTAAAAAAAGATTTCTGATTTTTATGGATTTCTCAACCACTGTAACAAGATGGCCTTTTCTCCGCAGAACTTCAAAGTAGGAGCTCTAGCTCTCCTTATCTGTATTAACAGTAAGATAGATTTAGAGTGATGTATAGATCATTCTACTTAACTGGCTCAGTCAGTGTTTAAAACACATTTGTAATTGGACCTATACTTTAAAATCCTTTTGCTTTGAGACAGCCTATATTTTAATTATGTTTATTTTATTAAAATAAATGATAGAACATTCCATTTTGTCAGTATCAAAACAATCATACAAAACTACTGAAACTTTACCAAATGCTTCAGAAGTGACTTTTTTGGTATTGACAATTTTAGATTCCCAGCTACTAAGAGGATACTGGGCCACTGTTGGCCTGCTAATGGCAAAGCTGGTGGTCCACTGGCTTTTTGCTCAGTGTTTTCCAGGGGGTCCAACAGTTTAAGTAGAGTATTAGACAAAATGTCACTTTTCAGCAGTCATTTTCCACCCACAGTCCAATTTACTTATTTTTCCTTCATTACTTTCTTTCACTATCCTTTGTAAAATAGTTGAGTAAATAATTTTAATAATCTTTTATTATTCATTTTAATTATTTAATTTTAATAGTAGTCTCATAAAAAGTCAGTTATCCAGTTGTGACCATTCTAGCACAATGTTATTTTCCAAAATAAAAGGCTGTGTGCATTTAAAATCTGTTTGAGGAAATTAAAAACTAGTTATCAGGGTCAATGAGCAGAACTCACAAACGCAAGGCAGTGCAAGACTAGCAAACACAAGTTTGAACAGTACATACACAAAATCATATTTTTTTTCATTAAAACACAAAAAGAGTTTCCGTAATTGCAGGAAATATGAATTTCCTTAGTGAGAATTCTCAGTGTTCCACACTGATTTGCATACCTTAGGGCACTTTTACTTCAAAACAATGGGATCTAAAATGCAGGGGTGTGGTTAAAATAAGGCTCCACCTACAGACTACAATTGGTTGTGTTTTGGTAGATCCATCTAAATCCTTTGAATTCTCTTTGAAATAATGGAAAAAAATCTTTGAAAAAGTGTGAATTTAGGGCTTATGGTTTGAACAGACACCTCCCAATAGAGTACTAGAGTAAAGTACTCCATAAATGGTGATTTTGAACTTATTTAGCTTATTTCTGTCTCTATTAATGCCTTGGGTTTAAATGGATCAGAATATAATCATTGTAAATATCTACAATCTGAACTCCTAACTGTTTTTCAAGTATTTTTTTATAGTGGGAGCACAGTTTGAACTAATTTAGTAGAATCATCCATAAATGATCAAACACTACACCCCATAGGAAAGAAAAATCTATGTACATACATTTGCTCATATTAATAATATATGTGCAATCAGGATCAATTCTAGGATCAGAGCTTTAGAGGGTACCCAATAAGACCAGACCCCACCCTTTTTTGGGTAGAGGAAACACTCTGACTGGAAGAACACCAACAAATCTGAGAAAACTTTGTGCAATGCTGAGCCTGTGAGCCACAAAGCCATCACTTGTAAGTAATTTAAATGAAATTGTATGAACAGAAAAAGATAATGAGGGATGAGCAATAAATAAAAAATAAATAAAAATGTAAAGATAAACAAAAAGAAACAAGTTGGGCATCGTCTGTCTCATCATATCTTCTATCATTCTATAGCATTAATTAGTTGATACACATACAAACAGAACTAGTCTAGCACATTGACTTTAATATCAACACATACCAGTGGTGCAACAGCTCGCTTCTCTCAAAAAAAACAAAAAAGATAGCTAACAAGAACAACACAAAGAGTGATCTGTGATTCAGTGCAGCAGAAATGAGGACTGCTGCTAATGATTGTAATGTGTTGGTGCTCATTGATAAGAAATCCTCGTCTGCACCACTTACTGGAGCCACCACACCACAAAGTCACACTGTAACTGGCTCTAGTGTGTGTGTGTGTGTGTGTGTGTGTTAACTCATTATTTGAAATACAATAAAATATGAAATTTAAGGCAGCCAGGTTTTTTTGTAGCTTTTTTGTAGTTTTTATTTGAGGACAAATTACCCATTTAGAACGTTTTGTTTTATTCAAATATTTTGTATATAAAATATTGTTTTTTGTTTGGTTTCAGGCATGAAGATTTTTACTGATTGACTACCATTTCATATATAAAACTATAGGCAAAAAATGTCTGCGTTAGAGATGTGTAGAAAAGTTTGTAATGTTTTAAAATGTCTGTGCTAAATATATGCCAATATACGCACATATACGTCAATGTATTGCAATATAAACACAAGTAGATGAAATATGTACAAAATAATGCATTTATTTTTAATTTTACATATATATGTCAAAGATTATCAAACATACTATAAACTTAAAATATGTATTGAAAATTTAAAAATATTTCTTTTGCAAATGGGATGCATTTAATTGATCAAATTGACATTTATTACACATATCAATCTAATATTATACATCACACATTATAAGGTGTATTATTTTGAGATAAAGAGCCAATACGCAGCCTGCTGAAGACCCTGAATTGTTGTCCATCTTATATGTAACACATATGACATCGGTGAATTTCAGTCTATATGTAAGAACAGGCAAAAAAAAACAATTTTAATGGTTTAGTTCTCGAGCATTGTGAACTGATTTTAAGTGACCTATGTTAGGAACTCATTGTCGTTGATGTGTTTGACATTTTCATATTAGCTACTGTTTAGCCTTTAAAGTCACAGTCATGAACAACAGGACATGTGGGGCATTATCTCTGCTAAAGATCTCAAACAATCACTTCATTACTCATCAGTGTTTCACTAAAAGGTAATAACTTACTGTGGGTCAGAGGACACAGGTTGAAAACTGTTGAAAACAGGAGGAAGCCCTGTGGACACACAGCTGGGCTCTCTTTCTTTGCTGAAATCATGAGGTTGAGACATGGACTGTTCACTCTTCATAGACACACAGCTGGGCTCTCTTTCTTTGCTGAAATCATGAGGTTGAGACATGGACTGTTCACTCTTCATAGACACACAGCTGGGCTCTCTTTCTTTGCTGAAATCATGAGGTTGAGACATGGACTGTTCACTCTTCATAGACACACAGCTGGGCTCTCTTTCTTTGCTGAAATCATGAGGTTGAGACATGGACTGTTCACTCTTCATAGACACACAGCTGGGCTCTCTATCGTTGCTGAAATCAGGAGAGTGAGACATGGTGTGGCCACTCTTCATAGACACACAGCTGGGCTCTCTTTCTTTGCTGAAATCATGAGGTTGAGACATGGTGTGACCACTCTTCATAGACACACAGCTGGGCTCTCTATCGTTGCTGAAATCAGGAGAGTGAGACATGGTGCGGCCACTCTTCATAGACACACAGCTGGGCTCTCTTTCATTGCTGTAAATACAAATATTTTTAAAATGAACCAATAATTTGTTAAATACTTCAATTTAAAAATAAATAAATAAAATTATGTTAGACTAGTGTCATTGTTGTTCTTTTCAAATCACTTCTTCTTTTGAATTTATTTATCCGCCTCAAAGGACATCTCGTTTATGGGGGCAATCGTGGGCTGGAGGTTAGGGAACCAGCCCTGTGACTGGAACGTCGCTGGTTTGATCCCCTGAGCCGACAGTATATGACTGAGGTGCCCTTGAGCAAGACACCTAACCCCCAACTGCTCCGGGCAAGTGTGCTCACTGCCCCCAAGTGTGTGTCTTCACTAGTGTGTATGTGGTGTTTCATTGCACAGATGAGTTAGATTGCGGAGGTGAAATTGTGGGACTAATAAGGGTCATCTAATCTTTATCTATTTTACAATAACATAATAAATACATGGTTTCACCAGTCTATAGAGCTGTAACTACTGATAGCTAGAGCAAGACATTCCATACCTTTGAAATTCTGATCATTCAGAGTGCTTCCACACATACAATTTCTTTGTTAGCAATCTAGGTAATGCCTGGCATGAATTAATAATGCCTCCAACTAAACAAGCTATACTTTATGTATTTTTAATATTTTATGTAAATTAATGGTAACAGTTCTCTCTAGGGATGGACTGAAAACTAAATTGAGTGGACATATATTTTTGAACAACGCTAAAAATGGTTTATCCTTTAACATTCATGAGCATGAACATTTTAAAGCTCCAAGCTGAGAACTGGAAAGACCAGTAGTTAGCTAGCTAGATCAGTATGTGCTAGTACATTAACATTAAGCAAGCCTTCTGTAGCTTTAGTGTACAAGCAGAATGAATGAACGGGTTAACTGAACGCTTCTGCACTTTAGCCCTGCAGTTCTTCGCATGTGCATTGTGTTTTCCTGTACATTTACAGTTGACACTCAATCATGTTACTGACTTGTAGCCCAGTAATCTAATTAGCTGTGGGATGTTCCACCAGTTTTTTAGCATTACACAACTTTACCAGCCTTTTGTTGCCCCTGTACAACGTAGATCAACTTTTAAAAAAATAACATTTGATATGTTGTCTTTGTACAATTTTCAATTAGAGTTTACATGCAAATCATGTTTGTGAAAATCACTGAAATTCTAATATTGACATGAAATTTGAAATTTTATTTAATGTGTACATATGATGACAACATATGGTTAAATATTCAGATAACTCATAAGAAGTTAAATCCCCTGCTACAATTGAGATTAAATCAACTGAGATTAAGCACAGTGATTCTGATATTTTAAATTAAATTAAAATTTAAATTTAAAAAGAATGCTTATGTGACACGCATGCATGAGAAGGGGCAGCAGATTCTGTTTCTCTCAGCTTGTCAACAAATGCTGGTGTAGCTGTCCATGAGGTGGTGCTCAAAGGGTAATTTATATAAATGGCAGTGGTGCTGAAGTAAAATACACTCTGCAATTTGTCCAAGATCTTGGCATAATGCTGCTTTAACAGGGGTTATAACTTCATATGAGTTAACTAAATATTTAATCACAAAATAATAATACTTTGTCATCATATATACACATTGCATAAAAAATAAAGCCTACAATATATCACTATTAGAAAGTACTAAAATGTACTGGTGTTTGTAATTATGAATACATATAGTCATTTCCAATGTTTGAATCGCCCTGGTCAAATACCTTGTTTTGTTGATTTTGTAAGTGAAAATTAATTCAACATGTCCTCTACAGAGGGCACTCGAATATGGCATTTTTCTGCTATTTTGAGTGCGTATGTGACGTTGCAGCAGAACACAGACGCTCGCGGATGTAAAAAAGACGACACGTTTAATATGACCGGGCAACCAAAGCAAAAGGGCAGAGCAAAAAACGAAGTCACAAAAACAGGCAAGGAAGTCAAAAACACGGGTCAGTCTATACAGGCTAAGGTACAAAAGGGATCAGGCAAAAGGCAAAGTCGAAAATACTAAAGTAGAGGTCAATACACGAAAAAAAAAACAGGCAATCATAAACAAACGCTCAGTAGATCAGAATGATACAATACTTCGCAAAGAGTCTATCTAAAGCCCGGGCTTTTAAAGTATACTGACTAGTCATGTGAATCAAAACACATGTGATACCAGTTAGTATTCCGGTGATGCAGAGCGCTGATAGGTGCGCGAGCGGGAGTCAGAAGTCACATGAGTCCCAACTGTATTGTGGGCAATGGTGTCCGTGTCTGAATCCGAGTCGGAGGGAAGTTGCTCCGTCATGTGATCTCCCAGAGGAGTCTGGGAGATGAAGTCCGGTTCCTTGTTAGATCTCGCCGAATACGTTACAGCATAATTTTTATCTGTTTTTCCATCGTTTAACATATAAAAAAAAATATATATATAAAATGTGCCATTACTTTTGCACAGGACACATGTTTATGAGATTTTCAACTCATGACCAGCTCATGCTCTTTCAACTCGTGCTCTTTTCCTCTAAAGTTTCCATGTTGTTCTGCTGTCCTCTTGCTCCTTCTGCTGGCTGAACAGCGCTACTGCACATGGACACACCTTAACTACGTAAATATTTTAAAAGCCCTGATAAAACAGCAACATATTTAAATATATTTATACAACCTATAAGTTTACCACATTCATTTACTTGATTTTCATACAAACTGATGTCTGACTAGCTGAATGATATAGCTTTTTCTAAATTAGGCCTGTTTATACAAAAACATTTATTTAACCATGTTTTATTTATGTACTCTGATGTCTGTTTTGATGTCTTTGACCATCAGCCATTTTGTAACTCAGTGTAGAAGTTTAATCCAGCTCTGAGATTCGTTTAAAGGAGCTTTTAAATGTGAATAAACAGAAACACACATTCCTGCTTTAATCTACACTAGTTTTTCACATTCCTGTTATTAATAAACTTACCTTGTTAAATTGAGAGCGCTAAAGTGTTCTCTCTGTCTTGAATGGCGACATGTTACTTTTTTTTTTTTTTTACCTTGTCAGGTGATTTACTTTCGGTTTGGTCTTCTTTGAGGAAGTGGTGCTCTGATCACTTAGGTCCATTCGGGTTTTCCTCAAAGATGATTCTTTAAGCATGTGCTCAAACTGATATTGAACTGATCACTGATGAGCTCCAAATTTAATAATCTAAAAGTCTGAATGCCTGTGTAGCTGTAGTAACAACCAGTTTGCAAACATCATAAATACATAAATGTGTGGCCATTTTTATAGATAACAGTATGTCTGCTAGGAACCACATAACCAACTATATTAGAGATCACTGAACTACTCCAAAAAAACAAAACAGAAAACAGAGTTTATTTAAGCTCAACCAGACTGAAATTTAGCATAACTGAATCTCTCAGTCACAAGTTACCATCATTTACATAGTAAACAGAGTATTTGTTGTGAGATTTTCTTCCTCTGTGGGAGCTCATCACTCTAAGTAGCACACTGTCTTTCTTCTGCAGAGACACAGTAAACTAATTAAGCTTTCTGATGATAAGATGTGTTAACTATCACATGTTTGTCACTGAGAATGATTTGTTGTGTGGCCTGATTACTTTTTACAGCTGAGTATGTGTGTACATTTCATACAAGGCCATTCCAGCACCAAGTAGAGTGTTTATCATGTCAACAAGCATTCCCTGGGTGGAAGGCAGGAAAGCTGGAGAGGTTGCCCTTGAGAGGTTGTCAGCCCATCACAGGGCAGACACACAGACATACACACACACTCACACCTAGGGGCAAATTAGTACCTTGAATTCTCCTGACTGCACGTCTTTGGACTGTGGGAGGAAACCCACACAGACACAGGGAGTACCTGTAAACTCCACACAAAAAAGGACCCTGGGTGCCCAGCTGGGAAATAGAACCCAGGCCCTTCTTGCTGTGAGGCTACAGCACTACCCAACACAACACTGTGCTGCCCTACAACTAGTTCACTCACAGACAATATAATTAAAAAGACTTGCTGCATTAGATCACTGTGTTGCTTTAACAAGCATTTGTTTTTTGTCATGTTATGCAATTTTCTGTAGTGCAGCATTATATCCCTCAACCTCATCGGTTTAACAAAATTCACAATTTCATATATGCTTCTTGTGTTTACATCCATCAGTGTTGTCTCACTACAATACCCAGCATGCTTTATGCAAATACATCATACAACAACCGAGAGTCTCTTCAACATTAAACAAATCCTGACTCCACTGATCCAGAGGCTAATAAACCCATTGTGGTGATAACTAGTATTAACACTAATCTTAGTTGGCTTCCAAACTGTTTTTATTAAAGGAATAATTCAGTTGAAGCCTTGGCAAGCTAGCAAAAAAAGTTTCAAATGGTCTACAAAAGGATCCACTGCAAAGCAGAATTTACTTCCTCTTTTAAGGTAAATTATCAGAAGGGGACTTTCCTGCACAAGGACTTTTGTTCCTTCAGCGACAACTGGAAGGCAGTATTTCCCGCAAGACAGCGCAACACTACCCCGCCCTATTTAGTTCTGAGCCAACCATGCACAACAGCTAATTAGCATATACCAGGGCTCCTTTACTGCAGTGGAAGATCACTGAGCTTGGTAAGTTAAAAACAACCAAGTTCTGTTTATATCTTTCCACATTACACAAAACGATAGATTTATGTAGTAATTTTTTTAATGGCAAAGGACGCATTTGTGTCATTTAAAGAACAGTCACTAGCTAGCTAAGCACTAACCAACTAGCTAGTTAGCTAACTAGATAGTTAGCTTGCTTGCAATTACTGTTTAGTAAGCTATCTTTTATATGTCATTTTAATCTATGTAAGGCTAGCATTATAATTATGTGAGATTGTTGTTTGGAATATAGATGTTTGAGTAGCTGCTTAATTTTATTACACTGTATATTAAATGTAGTCTATACAAATTGATTTGATGTATATTCACATATTTATTTTGTTTCAGGTTGTAATGAACATTTTCAAGATGGTGAAGTTTTGGCTTGCAGATTTTGAGAATTCTATGCAAAACAAATAAAAACCAAAGGATCCAAAAATATTCTGAAGTCACCCTCTGAAGGATTCATGCAGAATTATTTGGCCAGAATTGAAGAGGAAAAACATGGTCAATTTATATTTCTAAAAAAACAACATCTTTCCCAGTGGTAATGTGAGAGGTCATGTAAACCTAGTGATCACTCCTCAGAACAGCCTGATCAAACTAGAGCCAATAACTGATTAGCTTATATATTTTTCAAATGTCTAAGTGAAAAGAACTATAATGGATGCATCGTACATTTACAACCAGAACTTTCTGGTCATGACCTTAATAACCCTTGTGAAGATGCTGTGAACCTCTAATAATAGTCTTTAGCTCACTGTGGCATATTGTGCCAAGTAGAAAGTATGGATCAAGTATTCTGTATCTTGATGCTACTTTTAAAGGCATTACGCAATATGATTATGCCTTTTATGCTATACTTGTAAAGAGCAATCAAGACTGTGGGGCACCTGTGGCTTTTTTCATTGTTAATGAGGAAACCAGTGGCATCCTGGCACTATGCTTGAGAAAACTTCAAGAAGGGGCAGGAGGATTTCAGCCCAGGTAGATTTTTATTTAAATTTTGTCATATGACTCATTATTGCTATTGTTTATAAGGGGAAATCTGCAGGCTTACGTAGAGCAAAATCAAAGCACAGCCTGGTATAATCTCTCACATCTGTGAGACCACAAATATAATAGTCTAAGTAAGGCAGGTCAAACTGGGGACCTTCCAGACTAAAGTGCTTTAGAGATTAGTGTTTACCCTCATCGAATGCTCCAAATTCAGTTCATGAAGGCCTTGCTAGTTAGCTGATGAGCTGAAACAGGCGTGTTTATTGAGGCAGTGTGCTGAGGTCTGCAGTGTTTTGGCCTGCGAGGACTGGAACCTGACACATGTTGTCTGAGTGGTGCTAGTTCATTTTTTGTTCACTACACGTGAGATTCACATGAGAGTGAGTTTAATAACAAGTTTATGCTGGAATTGCAGCTGTATCATGATTGACTGTAACCTTAAATAAGTGAATGCAGTGTGTGTGGCATTCCCTCATGCCAGGATTTTGCTGTGCTTGTTTCATGTGTTACAAGTAGGCTTACTTTATAAGTGGAAGCAGTTTTATCCTCTTCAAACAATAATTGTTTAGACATTTTGTGTTAGATCTATATTTTTCTTGTTTCAATGTCTAGACCCTTCATATTGCAGGCAATACACTATAAAACCATGCTACTGGAGACAAAAAAACCCCATCAAACTCAGAAACAAAGTTATGCAAGCTAATTTTCCCTGAAAAACTGCAAAAACTGATAAGCATAAATCAACCAATAAAAATATATATTTTTCACAGACAGTCACCACGTTTTGTTACACTTCACCTCTCATTTTTCATTTTATCATGACCGTAATAACCCCTGTGAAGATGCTGTGAACAGTGTTGACCATGGGCTATTGAACTATATTCACCAGTGTTTTTTCTCAAGGATTATCCAATGCAGACATTCCAGTAAGGTGTAAAGACCGGGCAAAAGGTTTGAAAAAATTTGATTTGAGAGATTGACGTTATTATGTCACACTCGACAATTTTAGTCCATCCACGCATACTTTCTGTTTCTGCCCACAGGACGCTGTTGCCTGAATATTTTTGGTTGGTGGACTATTCTCAGTCCAGCTGTAATACTGAAGTGTTTAAAAGCTCCAGCAGCACACACTACAATGTCAGTGTCACTGCACTGCTGATAATTATCCACCACCCAAATAATATCTGCTCTGTGGTGGTCTTAACCACTAATGAATAGGGCACCTATGTACAACATTATTTCCAAAAAAGTTGGGACAGTGTGCAAAATGTAACAGAATGCAATGATATGCAAATCATGTAAACCATATTTTTAAAGGAAAATAGTAAAACGACAACATATCAAATGTTGAAACTCAGAAATTTTATTGTTTTTTTTTTTAATATATGCCCATTTTGAATTTGATGCCAACAACACGTTCCAAAAAAGTTGGGACGGGGGCATGTTTACCACTGTGCTTCATCGCCTCTTCTTTTAACAACACTCTGTAAGTGTCTGGGAACTGAGGAGACACTCCTGTAGTTTTGAAAGTGAAATGTTTTCTCATTCTTGTTTGATACAGGATTTCTCTGAGAAACTTCCATCTGAGAAAGATGTCATCTGGATGGCAGCATATGTTGCCAAAACATGTATATATCATTCAGCATTAATGGTGCTTTCACAAATGTGCAGGTCACCCATGCCATGTGCACTAAAGCACCCCATTCCATCATGAATAACTGTGCACTGATAACAAGCTGAGTGGTCTTTAGCCCAAAGGACACAGTGTCCATGATTTCCAAAAAGAATTTCAAATGTTGTTTTGTCGGACCACAGGACACTTTTCCACTTCGCCTCAGTCCATTTTAAATGAGCTTGGGCCCAGAGAAGGTGGCAGCATTTCTGGATCCTGTTAATGTACAGTTTCTTCTATGCGTTTTAACTTTAGCATTTATGGATGCAGCGACAAACTGTTTTGACAGACAGTGGTTTTCAGAAGTGTTTCTGAGCCTATGCAGTGATTTCCTCTACAGAATCATGTCTGTTTTTAATGCAGTGCCGTCTGAGGGCCCAAAGATCACGGCCAGCAAATACTGTTTTTTGGCCTTGTCCCTTACATACAGAGATTTCTCCAGATTTTCTGAATCTTTTGATGTTATTATGTACTGTAGATGAGGAAAAGCAAAAGCTCTGTGCTATTTGATGTTGAGAAATGTTATTCTTGAATTGTTGCACTATTTGATCGTGCAGTCTTTCACAGAGTGGTGAACCCCTCCTCATCTTTACTTCTGAAAGACTCAGCCTCTCTGAGATGTTCTTTTATACCCAATCATGTTACCGACCTGTTGCCACCAGGTGTTTTTTTTAGCATTACACCAATTTACCAGCCTTTTTTTGAACTGTCCCAACTTTTTTGGAATGTGTGGTTGGCATA